ACGAGGTCTTTGTTTATATCTAGGGTTTAGGTTTATTCAAGGTTTAGGGGGTTTAGGGTTTAGGGTTTAGGGCTTAGGGTTTAGGGTTTAGGGTTTAGGGTTTAGGGTTTGTGTGTGTGCAGCAATATGAGGGTTTGCGCCACCGCAAAATTTTGTTTTTGTTGGATTCGCTGCTGCTGCTGCAGTTATCAGCCCCAAGCATCTCCCAAAACCCCAACCCCCTGAACCACCAGAGGGCATGCAGCAGCAGCAGCAGCAGCAGCTGCAGCAGCAGCAGCAGCAGCTGCAGCAGTTTGCGGATGTGGAGCTGCCTGAGTTGTTTGTTGTTGCCCTTCAAGGCAGCAGCAGCAGCAGCAGCAGCAGCAGCAGCAGCAGCACGGAGGCAGCTCGTCGTCATATAAGAGGAAAGATATGCTCGTTGCTGAGCAGCAGCAGCAGCAGCAGCATTGAGTTGTTTACTAAGGGTGGAGCAGCAGCAGCAGCAACAGCAGCAGCAGCAGCGCAGCAGCTGCTGCAGCAGCTGCAGCAGACACAGGTGCTGCTGTTTTCTCTAACAGAGGGAGATGCTGCAGCACCGCTGCGCCTCAAAGGAAAACTCCTCACCAGCAGCAGCAGCAGCAGCAGCAGCAGCAGCAGCAGCAGCAGCAGCAGCAGCAGCAGCAGCGAGAAGGTGTATGTGGAGCTGAACTGTCTTCTTGCTGCTCCCGAAAGCGAAAAAGAGAAAATAAAAGAGAAGCAATCTCTTTTTTCTTTTTGTTATTTTGCTGCTGCTGAGGGTGCAGCTCTAGCTGCTGCTGCTGCTGCAGCAGCAGCAGCAGCAGCAGCAGCAGCAGGACCTGCTGCTGCTGCTGCTGATGAGCAGCAGCAACATATTCAAGCGGGTGTTGTTGCTGCTGCTTATGTTATTGCTGTTAGTTTATGTTCTCTTTCCTTGCTGCCGTATATAATAGATACAAACACAGAAAAAGAAAAAACAAATAAAAATAAAAAAGAAAAACAAAAGCAGCAGCAGCAGCAGCAAGAAGAAGAAGAAGAAGAAGAAGCAGCAGCAGCAGCAGCAGCAGCAGAAGAAGATGAAGAAGAAGAAACAGAAGAAGAAGACATGCAAGCTGCGGTGTATGCACTGGAGTTGCTGCTGCCTGTATCACAGCAACTATCTCAGCTGCTGCAGCAGCAGCAGCAGCAGCAGCAGCAGCAGCAGCAGCAGCAGCAGCAGCCGCGAGAGGAGGAAGCAGCAGCAGCACTAGCTGCATTGAGAGAAGCAGGAATGATAAGCAGCAAGCTGCTGCTGCTGCGGGGTGCTGCAGCAGCAAGAAGAGTGATTAGGGAGATAGGTGTTTGCCTCTGGCGGTGTTTTTGTGTATATACACCCCAACGGGGTGTATATGCAGTTGCTGCTGCTGCTACTGCTACTGCTGCTGCAGCAGAATATAAAACACTCAAAGAATTTTGCTTTTATAAAGAAAAAGAAAAAGAAGAGACAGAAGAGGAGACAGAGACAGAAGAGGAGACAGAGACAGAGACAGAGACAGAAGAAGAAGATATATATAAAAATATTAAAATAAATACAAAGACAAAGACAGATGTAAATAACAAAAAAAAGAAAAAATATAATCAAGGAGACAGCGAAGAAGAGACAGAAAAAGAGACAGAAGAAGAGACAGAAGAAGAGGAGACAGAAGAAGAAGAAGAAATAAATAAAAATAAAAAAATAAATAAAAAAATGAAGACAACGACAGATGTAAATATTAAAAAAAAGAAAAAAAATATAAATTATAATCAAGAAGAGACAGAAAAAGAAACAGAAACAGAAGAAGAGACAGAAGAAGAGACAGAAGAAGAAGAGACAGAAGAAGAGGAGACAGAAGAAATAAAAATAAAAAAACAAAAACAAATAAAAATAAAAATAAAAAAAGAAAAAGAAAAAGAAAAAGAAAAAGAAGAGGGAATGGATATTTTGCTGTCTGCGGATGAAGCCTTAAAACAACTGACTCAACAAAATACGAAAAGTAAATATTTATTTATTTTTTATTTATTTTTTATTTATTTATTTTTATTTATTTATTTTTTTCTTATTTTTTTTATTCGTTTATTATTTATTTATTATTTATTTATTTATTTGTTTGTTTATTTGTTTATTTATTTGTTTATTTATTTGTTTATTTATTTGTTTATTTATTTGTTTATTTTTTGTTTTTTATTTATTTATTTATTTTTATTCGTTTGCTTGTCTATTTTTGTTTAGATAAATATAAATAAATATAAATAAATAAAAAACAATATATAAATAAAAATAAATAAAAATATGTATTGTTATTTATCTATTTATATTTATTTATATTTATTTATATTTATTTATATTTATTTATATTTATTTATTTATTTTGTTTTGTTTTCTTCTTTTTGTATTTATACACTATACGCAATAAGCACATAAATAAACAAATAAAAAAAACAAAACAACTTATTTATATATTTATTTATCTATATATTTATTTATCTATATATTTATTTATATATGTATATATTTATATATTTATTTGTTTATTTATTTGTTTATTTATTTATTTTTTTTTATATTCAGGTGACTCAGTATTTGCATCATTTATAAATTCATCTTTTGGTATTTATAAACTATACGCAATAAACACATAAATAAACAAATAAAAAAAAAACAAAACAGCTTATTAATATATTTATATATTTATTTATATTTATATATTTTATTTATTTATTTATTTATTTATATATTTATTTTTTTTTTTTTTATATTCAGGTGACTCTGTGTTTTCATCATTTATAAATTCATCTTTTGGTATTTCTGTTCGCCGTTTGCATTTTTTGCGTCGGCGGCGTTTTGCTGAATTTCGTTTGCGGGCTGTTGCTGCTCTTCAGCTGTATATACACTCCACCACTAATATATCCTGCTGCTGCAGCAGCAGCAGCAGCAGCAGCAGCAGCAGCGGGAGTAGCAGCAGCAGCGGGAGTAGCAGCAGCGGGAGTAGCGGGAGTTGCAGCAACAGCAGCAACAGCAATAGCAGCAGCAGCGGAACCACCTCCAGCAGCAGCAGCAGCAGCAGCAGCAACAGCAGCAGCAACAGCAGCAGCAGCAGCAGCAGCAGCAGCAGCAGCAGCAGCAATTCACTAGCATTAGAGTTGGTGGTTATATTATATGATGCATACAGCCGAATGCTGCTGCAGGAAGCACAAGCAAGACAAAGACAGCAGAGGCTTGGGGTGTATAGGGACCTCACTAACAAAATTAAACAAACCATAGAAACAACACTCAAAACCATCACCAGCAGCAGCAGCAGCAGCAGCAACAGCAGCAGCAGCAGCAGCAGCAGCAGCAGCAAGGAGCAGCAAGGAGCTCCACTGGTGCTGTGTTATCAGGCGTTGCAGCAGCAAAATCTGAGGGTTTTGCTGCAGCAGCACGAAGCAGCAGAAACAGCAGCAGCAGCAGCAGCAGCAGCAGCAGGAGAGGATTCAACTGCATCTTCTACAAAAAAGCAAAAGAAAGACAGCAACAGAAATTCTGCAGCAGCAGCAGCAGCAGCAGCAGCGCCAGCAGCAGCAGCAGCAGCAGCAGCAAATAGTTATTTATATTCTCCGTTGCTGCCGCCGCCAGAGAGAGAGGGAAGCATGCAGCTGCTGCTGCGCAGCACTGCAGCAGCAGCAGCAAGCTGGCTCACCTTCGGGTGTACAGACACCTCAAACCCCACCCAACAGCAGCAGCAGCAGCAGCAGGAGCAGCAGCAGGAGCAGCAGCAGCAGCAGGAGCAGCAGCAGCAGCAGCAGCAGGAATATATAAATTATATTGGTTGGTGTTTTGTTGGGGGGCTGATGATGAAGGTGCTGCGGGCCAGCAGCAGGAAGCTGCCAGCAGCAGCAGCAGCAGCAAATCAGTGTCTTGGTGCCGATATTTTAATTAAATTAAATAAACTGCAGCAGCTCATCTATACGCATGCTACCCAGCAGCAACAGCAGCAGCTGCTGCTGCTGCAGCAGCAGCAGCAACAGCAGCAGCAACAGATGCTGCTGCTGCAGCAGAAAAAACAGAAAAAGAAACAAAAACAAGAACAGCAAAACAGCAGCAGCAGCAGCAGCAGCAGCAGCAGCAGCAGCAACAATAATATTTATATAAATAAAAATAATATAAATATAAATATAAATATAAATAAAAATAATATATATAAAGATATATATTATAATGAAGATATAAACAGCAGCAGTTTGCTCTCTGATTTATTTGTGGTTATATTATCCTGCTGCTGCTGCTGCTCTCGTGCTGCTTTTATTTATTTACTTTCTCGTTTGTCTTGTTCTTTTTCTAGTTTTGTTTTTGCTGCTGACTTATATGCTGCTGCTGCTGCTGCAGCATCTCCCTTCATCAGCAGACAGCTAGCTGAGCTTGCTTTTAGGGTGTACAGACACCCCGATGCCCTCAAAGCACCAGCAGCAGCAGCAGCAGCAGCAGCAGCAGGAGCAGCAGCAGGAGAAGGAGAAGGAGAAGGAACAGCAGCAGCAGCAACAGCAGCAGCAACAGCAGCAGCAGCAGCAGCAGCAGCAGCAGAAAAAAATAAAATAAAAATGTTTATAAAAGACAAACAAATGGCTGTTTGGGTAGGAGCAGCAAACGCATTAATAGGAAACGATATTGCGAGAAGAAAAGCAGACAGAAGAGACACGCTGCTGCTGCTGCAGCAGCAGCAGCAGCAGCAGCAGCAGGAGGGGGAGGAGGAGGAGTGGGAGGAGGAGGAGCAGCAGCAGCAGCTGTATAACCAACTAAATAAAAGACAAGCAGCAGCAGCAGCTGCTGCTGCTGCTGCAGCAGCAAAATTCAGAATGCCAACTGCAGCAAGAGCTTCTGCTGCTGCTTTTGCTGCTTTTGTTATCGATCGTTTGCTGCAGCTGCTGCAGCAGACTGCTTCCTCTCCTGTTCGTCCCCCGCAGCAGCAGCAGCAGCAGCAGCAGCAGCAGCAGCAGCAGCAGCAGAAAGGGAAGGACACCAAAAAGAGGAAGAGAAAAGAGACAAACGAGCAGCAGCAACACGAGGATGAGAGTGACAATGAGTCTGCTGCTGCTGCAGCAGCAGCAGCAGCAGCAGCAGCAGCAGCAGCAGCTCCTGGTGATGCTGCAGTAGGGTTTACGTTTAGCAGCGAAGCGCAGCGGCATACAGCTGTGTGTCAGTTGCTGCAGCAGCTGCAGCAGCTGCTGCATGCATTTATAAAGAGAAAAGAGCTGCTGCAGCAGCAGCAGCAGCAGCAGCAGCAACAGCAGCAGCAGCAGCAGCAGCAGCAGAAGGGAGAAGAGAAATCTGTGTATTTTATATTAACACAAAAAAATAAAATAAAAACAAAAATGCAACAAATAGAAAACATAATGGGAGACGGAAAATATAAAAAATATATTAATAACATCAATGCTTTTCTTGATCGTGTTGCTGCAGCAAATACAGAAGCAGCAGCAGCAGCAGATGCAGCAGCAGCAGCAGCAGCAGAAGGTGCAGCAGCAGCAGCAGATGCAGCTGAAGATGCAGCAGCAGCAGCAGCAGCAGCAGCGAAGAAACGGGTGAAGGAGACGAGGGATATCCCCAAGAAAAAGA